TTCTTTGTGTAGTCCTGGCTGTCCTGGTACTTGCTCTGAAGACCAGGCTGACTTCGAACTCACAGAGATCTGCCTGCCTCTGCATCCTGAGTGCTGAGAATAAAGGTAGGTGCCACCACGGCCTGACTTTTTTTTAACTTATCACCACAACCACCCACATAGTAATATATTTGGGTACTCTTTCGAGTCTGATGGAGGAACGTGGAGCTAGTAAGAGATAGATTAAAGGCCATTCTCGTTCTGTTGTGTACCTTTCAGAGAGTTAAAAAATGACATCAAGCTTTCTCACGTTTGAAATTGAATTTTCTCTTCCAAGTTCCCCTTTCTAATAAATGGCGAAACATGTTTTAGTTTGAGATAGCCAAAGACAGCACTGAGAACTTCAGGAGAGAAACGGAAGCTCTTAGCCTTGCAGATCACCCCACCTCCGAATGAGCAACCAGGGTGGATTTAGTCCATGCCACATTAGAAATGCCGGGTTCTCAACATCACATCTTTGAATGTGTGTCTCATGAGGGTACACATCCTAATTTCCTGTAGCAAAGCATTTGTTTTGAAGATGCATTTGCTAGAAGCAGCCAGCGACTCCTGTTCTTTTTGTAAAAGTGTCATCCACTTTGGTAGTGCTTAAAATAAAGTACCCAGATAGAAGGTGGACTGAAACAGACAACAAGCAATACAATACAAACTGTTACGAGTAAAGTGTGTTACTCAGATCCTGCTCAAATACATGTCTCCTTTATTTTGAAGGCAACTTGGCTAATGGAACCAGTCCTTCCTTTGATCATCAATAGGGCCATCTTTTGGGGAAACTAAGTCCCACCTCAGCTGGCAGTTTTAGATGAGGCAGACATAAAAGAGAGGGCCTGGCTAATTATCTAGTCCCTGAAAAGCATGTCTTTTCTCTCTTTAAATTAACGATTCTCCGGCTAAAACCCAAGCAAGAATGTCATTGACTCCTAGATGGGGAGAGAGACGATCATTTGATCTTTAGTATTTACTGCTGTTGCTGTATTCTTTTATTCTGGGCAGCACACAGGATCTGGATTTGTGTCAGCCTTATGGTTACAGTTTTCTTGTCCTGAGTGACTGATTTTTTTTGACCAAGTGAATGAGAATAAAATAAAATGAAATATGGATGCATTTATGAAACTTCCAAGGCTTGGAGAAAGGAGCCTTTGAATAGCAGACGGTCAGTGGATTCTCACAGAAATATTAAACATAGCGGTGAATGGAGAAGGGAAAGCCTTGAGCGTGTGTTAGGCTGGTTGCAGCAACTGCTTTTTATTTTTCCCATGTATCTGTCTACATTTGGAAGAGGTAAAAGAGGGGCTGGTGGTGAACTACAGGGGTGCTGCACAAAACAGGAGCCTCAACCCAGCGTGGCTACAGAGCCCTTGAAAGAGCTAGTGTCAGCTGAGCTGTGCAGGAAATGCCAAATACACACTCGGTTTAGGGGGAAGCCTGCCATGGTGCCTGTAACCCTGGAACTAGTGAGGATCAAGAGTTCAAGGTCATTCTTGGCTGCATATTGAGTTCAAAACCAATCTAGACGACAGGAGACCCTGCCTAAAGAACAAACAAAAATTTAGTATGAAAAAGTATGCAAATAGTATTTATATTGATTGTGTATTGAATATTAATATTTGGGGTATCTTGGGACTAAATACAGTACACAAATATTTTCCTGTTTTAATTTTTTTTTTAAATTGGAATTTCTCTGTATATCTGTGGTTGTCCTGGAACCTGCTGTGCAGACCAGGTTGGTCTCAAGAGCACTGAAACTGCCTGCATTTGTTTCCCTGGCTCTCGGATTAAGGTCTTGAAGGCGGGGTACTACCAGGCCTGGTTTTAAAATTTTACGAGTAGAATTTAAAATGGTCTGTGTGGGTCACACTCTATTATTGACGAGCACTGTTCTAGGCTTCAGGGTTAGACTAGACCAATGACACATCTGTTGGTTTTTTTTTTGGGGGGGGGGGTTGTTGCTGTTGTTTTAAAGAGAAATTGTTTTTCTGTGGGCTTGTAATCTTTACCCCCTATCAAAAATCTAATGCTGACTTGGTTGCCCAGGCTGTCCTGGGCCCGAGAGGGATGAAGTTGGAAGGTAGGGAGTGACGTGTGTGTAATTGAGCTGCCAATTACAATAAGCACTCCCTTACTTTAGAACAAGCCAGGACTGAGACCTGGAGGGGTTGGATGCGGTACCCTGCATTCACCCCAGAGCTGTTGTAGGACTGGACCGGAGCTGGTTTTGGTCCCTCTAGCGTTTTCGCGGGGTCCTGCTCAAGGAATCCGGTCAATGGGAGAAACTTTCAGGCATTCCTTGTCTCAGGATTTCCTCTAGGATTTGGGACATAGCTCGCCCTAGAACCTGAGGCCAGGACCAGATCAGAAACCTATGAGGACCAACCATCCTCACGCAGTCCGCACCCGCGCTTCCCTCCCTTTGTCGCACTGGGCTGAGGCCCCACAGGTCCTGGCTGCTATGTGTCTGGAACCGGAGGAGAAAGGATCTCTGTCATGGATAAGGGTGGTGGCGGCGCCGAGGATGCCTAGAGTCCTCAGCGTCTCTTTCGTCCTGGCGTCTAGGGCGGTACTCATCCAGCTTCTTAGCCTTGTTCGCTAGCGCTAGCGGCGCTAATCGGGTATGCTTATCGGGTAGCTAAAGACACCAGCGCCCCAGGTCTTACACCTTTCCCAGCGACCGGGTTTCCTCTCTCGGCTCTAACTTCTTAGGTTCCTATAGCGACCTAAAGAGGCAGAGCCCGGACTGCCGGATTTCCGAGGAAAACGTCTTTCAGCCTCTCTCCATGGGCAGCTCTGCTCTCGGCTAGCCTGGGCATGAGCCTCCGCTGCTGCCGCCACCCTTTTCCCTATCGCAGTTTGTGTCCCGGCGAGAGCCTTAGCCTGAGCGGAGTCTGTGTCAGGCTATAAAGGTTGTCTGACACCAAAGAACCAAAAGGCCGAGAAGGCAGTCTACCACTCTGCTTTTCTCCTGCGATTCCTCGAGCATTCGGAGAGCTGTGTAAGGAAGAGTTAGTTCTCTGTGTCACCGCTCAAAGACTGGCACTCAAGGACGTTTCTAAAATCTTGTCCCCCAAGTGATATTCAGTTTGCAAGGTACAAGTTAGTCTCTGACTCAAGGAAGCTGAAAGCCTGCCCCCCGGAGGCCGGGCTAGGATCTGTACAGTGGCTGGAAACCCAGGTCAAGGATTGAAACCGACACCCACTGAAGTCCGGTTGTAAAGCTCCCGCCCCACAATAGCCTGCCAGCCTTGTATTTGGAGACAGAGTAGACGAATGACTGATATCCATTTGATACATTCACCCCAGAGTAGAGATGGATGGACTTCCATTGTGTGGACCATCACCTCAGCTCCCTTTCAAGATTTTTCTGCCTCTCCCTCAGTACCATAAACGATGACTCGGCCAGGACGAATGGTCAGGGAACTTCTGTAAAGTCTACCATCTCCCTTTCAGTGGTCATTTCCTCTCCCACCGTCTCTTCCTACTATTACAAACTTTGAAACACAAGTCGCCTCTCAGATAGAGACAGTTCCGACTTCATTTACATGCCTGCTTACCAAGATCTTATTTCACTGTCTCCCTGCCATGCTCTCTTCTGCTTCCTCTCCTATCTGGTTACCATTGTGTCCGTGTGGAATAGGACACTTCCACTTCCCGGAGCCCTGAAGTTTGGGTCCTAATTGATTCTGGTAATTAATTTGTTCTACCTGCTAGATCAGATGGAAATCCTACTGCAGCGCCCAAGGATTAACACTTGACTTCGCAGCACCCCCTCTAATTATCTAATAGCATGGGTTGTGAGGACTCAGTCTCTGTTAAGACACTTTTGCTATTAGCAGTAGTGATTGGAATTGTGATGACGACTAGATATCAACAAATTAGAGCTTAAAAATTGGGAGATGGAAGAGAAGTGGCTTCTTTTAATTTCCCCGAGTTTAACATCAATAATTAGAGCAATTTTCAGAGATGCGAGCCCAAATTACCCCTGCTGTGCTGTAGATGATCACCTTAATTTTAGCAAATTGACTCCAGGGAAATAAATGCGACAGATTAGAAAAAGACAAACAGGAGGGAAAAGATTGGAAAGAAGAGTAAGGAAAGAGGCAGGGGAGAGAGACAGGGGATAAAATCTAATGCAGTGATGGGGGAGGACTGTGGCTGGAATGGGTGGTGTAGCAGAAATAGCAAAACAAAAACAACAGCAACATATGATTGACGTGAAGAGCAGCATGGAGGGTGACAGCGAAGGTGACTGTGGGCAGATTTTAAATGACCAAGTCATTTGGGTGATAGACGTAGACCCCCCATCCATTCCCTAAATTTCAGGTTAAGACTCTTCACCATCATCTTTATTTCCCCAACAATTCAGTCATCCCTCCTGTCAATGTAACCCAACTCTAGCAGCTCCGTGTGTCAGCAGACAGTCTGCATGGTTGTTTCTTCACTTTCTCCTCCTTTGTTACCCATTTCTGAAACTCTTTAAAAACCAAACAGGCCCGAATGCTTGAGTAAGTGCTTTATTCCAACGCTATTGGGACCCTTTTGGTATTCTTGTTTGTTAAACAACGGCGAAAAAATTCATTTTCATGTCTTTTAAAAAGACGGATCACAGCAGTTCTTGCAGGGGAGGGGCAGAAATTGGGGTCGAGAATCCTGCTAGGAACCGAACCCATTGAGCTCAGCGCTCCCTGCTTGGCCAGGCTCATTCAGCACCGCGGACAGATCCCCGCCCCGCCCCGAGCCCACCCCACCCTCCCCTCTGCCTCCGCAGCCTCGCTATTGGTTCTCTCGGCTCCCCTCTCCAAGCTGCCAATTCTCTAACACACAGAACCAACCTACCCAGGCGCTGGAGAGGCAAGAAGACAAGCACCGGGGATAGCCCAGGTCGGTAGAGCAGCCGCGATCTGAGCCTAGGCGGTCAGGAGCAGGTGCGGGCTTTCGACTAGGCCAGCTGCGAAGCTGTCTGCCTTCTACACTTTGTCCTGGCCCTCACCCTGTGACAGACGCTCCAGCAAGATGAATCTCAACTTCACCTCCCCTCTCCATCCGGCATCTTCTCAGAGGCCCACGTCGTTTTTCATAGAGGACATTCTCCTACACAAGCCCAAGCCGCTGAGAGAGGTGGCCCCTGACCACTTTACGAGCTCTCTGGCCTCTAGGGTGCCTTTGCTAGACTATGGCTACCCCCTTATGCCCACACCCACCCTCCTCACCCCTCATGCCCATCACCCTCTGCATAAGGGGGACCACCATCATCCTTATTTCCTGACCACCTCGGGTAAGTATCAGAAGCCCCCAGGAGTGGGGAGAGACAGGGCCAGCTGGGTTTTGTTTGTTTATTTTGTTTTATTTTAGCACAGCCCCCAGAGACCAGATCTGGTCGGGTGGCCTCCCTCCTTCTGCAACAGTAGAAGGTTGGGGGCCTGTCTGAGAGAAGAAGAGCTCCCCTGAGGCATGCCAACTGAGGGGAACAGGATTCGTGGTTACTTAAACAGTTTTTATAAACGGGACGGGATGGGATGGGGATTGTGTCTGGCTAGAGGCAGCTGGAGTGATGAATGCGATCATATTCCTGGTGGGCAGTACTCAGTCTTACTCCACTCTTCCAGGCCAACTTGTTCATTTCTACCCCCCCCCCCCAACTTCTTCCATCTCAGAAGGAGGTCCTCGGTCATCTTGTCCCAGGGAATCCCCCAGAACTTTGTAGTGCAGAGACCAAAAAGGCTTCACTTGGCCAGTTCTCTTCAGCTAGGTTGGGTCAGAAACATTGGCTGATTCTGCAGAGGACATGGAAGTGAGGGAGGGCTTGGGGTAGTCTGAAGAAAGAAGATTCAGACTGGCAGGAAGAGAGCTGTAGCTCTTGAACCATTGCTTCCAAGGCTCAGCACATTTAATTCATGGTCAGTCTGCTTGGCTTTCCTTCTTCTGGCCCAGTTGCTAGAGTAGCTGAGATCCGTTGTTATGGTATTTCAGGTTTAGTGTTTGGCAAGGAGTGGGGACTGGGAAAGTAAGAGTGGGCCTGAAGATGCCGGTGAACATGTAGGTTCGTTTGTTCGTGTCTCTTAGGCTACATGCACACTTTCTTCCCTAACATTTTTGGTCCAGCTAGACTAGAAAAAAATTCTTCTACTCCCGATGCTGAGCACAATAGTGAATTCGCTCCAGTGGGAGCTGAGGGAAGGGAGCAGGCAATGTGTGAAATGTGGGCACTAGGATTCAAAAAAAAAAAAAAGATGAAAAATGTATAAACCCACTCTCAAGCGCAAGCTTAGGGAGGAGATTTTGAGATACCCGTCGAGGTCTGCATTGCTCCCTAGCTTTGACACACGGCGGAGAACGAACTCTTCTTTCAGGGATGGTATTGCCCAAAATCCGTGGGGCTAAAACAGCTTGGTAGATACTGGAGTCTGAGGCCTGTATTCTTGGAGCGTCTAAAACATTGAGGAAAACTGAGAGGGTCGCGAAATGGAAGCGTCCTCTTCTGATTACCAGAAAAAAGAGCCTTAGCTCTCCTGATTCGGGGGGCTTGAAGTTGGAGGGCAAAGCTTAGGATCAGACTACAGAGCAGGGTCTCCAGGGCGACCCTGCCACTAACAAGGAAATGTCGGGGGCGAGTGCCAGCCACACTTTCTCTGGATAAGCGGGTTTTGTTTTTTTTTTTTTTTACGCTGTTTTGTTTTGTTGATGTAAGGGTAAGGGCGACCCGGGAAAGATGCTTTTCAGGGCTGAGAAGGCCAGGTCCTATCTAGCCGGTGTTGTAGAGATCTGGGTGGAAGCGAGTGGACAGCTCCGGTACCATCGGACTCCGCGACAAAACTTTGCAAGGCCCAGCAGATAACTGGATGCGCACTGTGGGGAAGTCTCCCCAGGAAGATTTTTTTTTAAGCTCTCTGGATCTTTGCTCTATTTTTCTTTTCTTTTTTACTTGTTTATTGTTTGTATTTTGGGATGGTCTTCTAGGAAGAGATCTCCAAGCGCTATTTTAGGATCCTCTCCCCACTGTCCTAGAGTTATAGAGAGATGGGCTCCCGGAGCTTTGAGGCAAGTGGGAGATAGGTGTTCGGGGAATGCTGGGCACCGGAGTGGAGTGAAATTGGGAGGCTGAAGTTACTTCCTGGGTCTGTGGGTTCTGTCCAACGAACTGCTCTTGTCTCTGTAGGGGTGCCGGTCCCGGCACTGTTCCCGCACCCGCAGCATGCGGAGCTGCCGGGAAAGCATTGCCGCCGCCGCAAAGCTCGCACCGTATTTTCTGACTCGCAGCTCTCCGGCCTGGAGAAAAGGTTTGAAATCCAGCGCTACCTGTCGACACCAGAGCGTGTGGAGCTGGCCACAGCCCTCAGTCTCTCCGAGACTCAGGTGGGCAGGAGCGGGGAGGAAGCCCCGTATTCTGCGTCCTGCTCTTCTCCCCTCATCTCTGAACAGTTCCAGAACCATGGAATAAAAATGTACCTCTCCCCTATCCTTTCAGGTTATCCCCGAGACCCGACAGAATTTATACCCAATTTTCACATTAGATTTATCTACCCGGCTCTATTGGGAGGAAAAAAATCACTTCGAGTGATTCTGCTGTCACCTCCAAGTTAATGGTTATTTCTATTTCTCTTCCAACTAAGCGGGTGACTAGCTGAGTTAGAGGGTTCTTGTTTCTGGAGAAGCTTAAACAGTTTTTTTGTTGTTTTGGAAAGGGTTTCCTCGTGTAGTCCAGGGTGGCGCAAAGCCCCATCTTTCTGCCTCAACCTCCGTGTGTGGATTACCAGCTTTCACCACCACTATAAGCGTCTTTACCCCTCTTCACTGCCCTTCCCCCATGTACTTATTTCAGTCCGCCATTCCCAGCTGCAAGTCTTCCTAGGTCCCCCAGGGCTTTGGCACACCGCAGTTAAAGTGTCTGCTTTTAGTTTTTCTCCTTTGTCCTATTCATCCCCCCCCCCCCCCCCCCCCTTCCTTTATTCCTTCTCATGATCTTGCTGTGAAATCATTAGTCATTCAGAGCGGAGACTAATACTCTCTCCAAGAAAAACCGGTCCCTTCCCTCCATTCTTGTCTTTCGGTCCACAAGGTCTGTTGGGCCCAGGATTCGGTTGTCTCCATCACAGGTTCCTAAATTGAGTGTAAAGGAGAGCCTTTTTCATCCAGCACTTACCCTTATTAATTACCATCCACATTGCTGACCCTCATCACTATTCTGGGGCAATCTCTCTTGGAAGCCTTAGGTTCTCATTCAGCCTAAAGCGATAATGTGTGATTTTGCCCAAAGCGCAAGGGGACCCTAACGTTAGGACCGTATTAAATTCAGTAGACAGAGGGCCTTTTCACGTAAACGCCACCATTCGCCCAGGTCTTAGCTCTGTCACCATTTGCCTGAGGAATGACACGATTTTGTTTGTATCTCCTAAACTAGGTGAAAACGTGGTTCCAGAACCGGCGGATGAAGCATAAAAAGCAGTTGAGGAAAACTCAAGACGAACCAAAAGCCGCAGACGGGCCTGAGAGCCCCGAGGGCAGCCCCCGTGCCCCAGAGGCCGCCGTCACCGACGCTCGGCTGAGTCTGCCTGCCGGCGCCTTCGTGCTTACTGAGCCGGAGGACGAGGTGGACATTGGGGACGAAGGCGAGCTCAGCTCAGGGCCGCACGTGCTCTGAATGGCCATGCTGGGGATACCCGGGAGAAAAGGTCGCGGGGACCTTGCCGGGCGGAAAGACTCGCCGAAACTCCAGACTCTATTCCAGCCGCCCGGGCTGGAAGGACAGACGCAGCCCATTCATCAACCTACAGCCGCCCGCGACCCACCCCCAAGCTTCCTCCTGAACCTCATCCTGTCCCGGCCGGGAATCACCAGTGTGATCGCTGGTTCCAGCGCCCGGCGTCTTCAGAGCCCAGGACCTGCCCAGTGTCGTAGCCCAAACTGGCAGCTGGACTCGCGGTTCTACAATTCGACAGAGCTTTCCTCCCGCTGCCGATACAGAACCTCTCCATTCTCATCTCTCAGCCAGTTGTCCCCTAGTTCTGTCATCCTGTACCCGCGCGCGGTCTCTGCACCTGGACAGTAGCTCTCCCTTAAGCAGTACAGATGATTGCAGATAAAGGGACCAGGTGGCTGCGGTCATGCGGGGATCCAGGCAGAGCCACGCCGGATCCTTTAAACCTTCAGTGTCCTGACAGAGTTGTTGGCGACTTTTCACTATTTCTGCTCACACCCCTACCTGGACCCCACAACTCTAACTCAAATCCTTAGGCGATCCCCTTCTACGGATTGCGCTTCCATCCTCTTCCTTCCCGGTGGCCATCGGCGCGCTCGGTGTTCCGGGCGCTTGCGGCGCTGGTGGACCCCACAATTTCCCTCCCCCACAGAATCGTGGACAGAGAAAATCCACAGCTCAATTTCTGCTTCCTGAACTTGTTGCACTTGTCCCGCAACCCTTCCATGTCCCAAAGGCTACTGAGATTTTAAAAGTGTTGTCTTCGGGTTGTTCATGGACGCGCTCACTTCGTGCAGTGTTTTTAGTGGGCTGGCAAGGAGCACACTCTACAGCTTTCCGAATCAAGGCAAAAGGGGTTGTGGGCGCGCACCTGTGTGTGTGTGTGGGGGGGGCATTGAAGCTGTCACTCGCCCCTCCACTCCTCTTCTTTGCCCCTGGAGGGTCTTCTAGTCTCTTACTAGATCTGCAGTCTTTTTAGATAATAAAGGACTTGCGGGGCAAAAATGGGAAGGAGCATGGGTTTCCGGGAATCGTTCGTTGTCCAATTCAGCTAGCACATCACCTCCCTTGTCTCAGATAGTTTCTTATATCCCCCGGTAGCATTGACCTTTACTTAGCAGATTCCATCTCCCCGACCCCGACTTTCCTGTTTTCAATCATTTGACTAATGGAGATTAATGAATCTCATCCAGGTGAAAAAGGTCACCACAAACAGTATCTTGTCTCTGCAAACCGCGGACAGGACCGCCGCCTTTGGGTATTTTGTAACGAGAAACTATGCTAATGAAGTATGTGAAGACACTTCTCCAACTAGCAGCCGGGCGGGGAGGAGGACTTCGATTTCGGGTCTGCCTTGGCTTCCGGTAGTTTTTAGATGAGTGAGTTGGGGAAGACTGGAAGGCGGGATTTTAGCAGGTGCCTTCCTCACCCTCGGGCGGGCGCAGAGATAAACAATGACCAAGATTGCAGTGGTTTGAGTTTGGGTTGCATTTAATCGTTTTTCCCCCAACGCGGGGATGCATTTCCAATCCCTCTAGGTGAAAGTTCTGAGTTTACGAATGTAACAAATGGAGAGATGCTTTCAAAACAGAAACAAAGCAAAACCAAGAGCCTTACCCAGTCTGCATCGTTAGGAGGCAAAGCTACCTCTTAAATCTCAGCCGTTGTGAAGCCTTTGGACTTTCGGGAGTGCCTGCTAGTCAGACAACAGAATTGTGAAGCACAGGTCAGCAAACGGAGGCTTGTGAAAGTTAAGAATGTATCCATGATATTTGGGCTCGCTGACAGCTGAAGGTGGACACAGATCTTTGACTCTGTTTGAGTCTGTTCCCTTCTTTTCCTACCCTCTTCCCTTTTTGCTATTTCTGGTAACAATGCCTGCCTTACAGTTTGCCCCTGCGACTTTATAAGAACATCGTCCTCATTTCTTTAGTCTGTGAAATTGTGGCTGATGATGATTCAAATCCAGGCTCACGGGTCTCGTCTTCTGGTCAGATAAGGACCATATTTTTTTCAAACGCACATACTTTTCAGGCAAGACCCCTACTTCCAAACTGCACCTACAACCTTACAGAACCATTTAAAGGATGTAGTTTACAGAAAATGTGCTACAGTAACGCACACGCATGCACGTGCACACGCATGCACACACACAAACACACCCCAAAACAAAAACCAACCAACCAACCCAACCAACCCTTGGGTGAGAGAAATGTGATTTGATAATAAGAGAAAGATAACTTTACAATAGCATGGAGCCAAGAGCCTAGGAGATAAAAACTCAAATTATTCTAGTCCTGAGCACAACAACTGCTAAGTAATGGTAAAAAAAAATACCATGTGGAGCTAGCTAGATAGATAGATAGAGGGAGAGTTTAAATTAGCCGGTGAACACAGACTCAAAAGCATTAGGCATCTGTCTTTTCTGCCTTCAGAAAATCCTTGGGGATCAGAGTGAGGGCATTTCATGAGCTTATCTTGAAGAAGCAGGTAAACAGGAAAGCTTCCAGTTTAAGAATAGCTCTTCCCGACTGGGGCACAGTCTGGAGTCCCAGGAACTGGGGTCTGATTCAGGATCATCCTTTGCTTAGGAAGATGTCACTTCCAGCTATGCTGGCCTTCATTGCCTGAATGGCTGAGAGGGGAAGAGCTTTGAATGCAACCAGATGTAGGAGCAAGGCAGTTTTCTCACCGACCCCACCCCAATTCTGGAATTGTAGTAAATAAAGTAATAGCAAAACTCTCTCCTCTCCTCTCCTCTCCTCTCCTCTCCTCTCCTCTCCTCTCCTCTCCTCTCCTCTC